GGCACCGGCCGGGCAGCCGTGAGCCCACTGCTTCCGCGCGTGGAGCCCTTTTGCGGTAGGGACCCTTGAGGACATCGCAGATGGCACCCGTCCGGGCAGCCTCGCCTGAAGAAACGAGGGTGAATGTCACCACGTCTGGGCTCCTGGCTGCCGACCACACGCAGGAAGAATTGGGGCCGGCGGGCGGGGCCGGGGGTTCGATTCCGGTCAGGGCACAGGCCCGGGCTGCGGGCTCCATCAGTGGCTCTCTCATCATTGATGTTTCTGTCTCTCTCCTTTCGTCTCTCTGAAATCAATAAAGATATATTTTTTTAAAAAAAAGAATTGGGGCTGGCGGTGTCGCTGGTTGGTTGAGCATGGACCTCTGACCCGGGGGTCACGGATGGGTTGGGGCCCCGCACACGCCCAGGTCGCTGGCTCAGGCCCCAGTGGGGCGCAGGCGGCAGCCCATCAATGTTTCTCTCATGAATGTTTCTCTCTCTCTCCCCCCTCCTCTCTCCGAAACAAATAAAAACATTTTTTTAAAGATTAGGGTGGGGGGCTGGCTACTGCAATTCAGTCCCCGCAGCCATGAGCACATGCTGCAGAGGGAGAGGAAGGAGAGGGGCGTCTTGCCAGAGAGGGGGCCTCCTGCTATAGCGGGGAGGCTGGGGCGCCCCCCTGCAGGATTCCTGCCTTAGGGGACAGCTGTGCATTTTGACATGGGGGAGAGTGGAGTCTGGTCAAGAGGGCCTACTGGTAAAGTTTCTCTGGGTCCTACAAGGCAAAGAGAACTTTTTTGAATAATTATGAAAAGGAGCGATATGCAGGGGTGAACTCCGGAGCTACACAGGAGCACATGGTGTGTGTAAGGGGGTGTCCACTTTGTTCGTCTCAAGGTGAGTCAGGGCTACCCTGGTGACATCGGCCAACTTAAGCTTCAGTGGCCTGGCAGGTGGACCCGCACAGGCTGCCTGCGAAGCCCTCGCTTACGAGAGTCGTTGAGGTACCTCTGCCGGACATCAGTCAAGATCATGCTGGGTTGTCTTCAAGGTATAATACCAAGGCTTCCTTTGAGTGAGGTAACCCACTTTTTTAGTTTTTTTAATTGTGGAAACATAGATAACATAAAATTTACTGTTTTAACTATTAGTTACATGCACAGTTCAGTGGCGTTAAGCACATTCACCACCATCATCTTCAGAGCTTGCTTTATCATCTGCAGCTGAAACTCTGACCAAGATGCAGCGGCAGAAGCTGGACTGGCTCTCGCGCCTGAAACAGTGGACAAAGTGTGGGAAGCAGCAGTTCTTAGGACACTGGATGTTATGCAACAAAGCTCAGTGGCTCCTGAGGAATGAAAAACCAGCAGGCAGAGCCTAACAATTGTCCCTTCCTCCTGCTGGCACAGCTTCCAGACTACAATGCAGAGCGGAACCCAAGCAGGGCCGGGAGGTCTCCCTGAGTTGAGGAAATAAAACTGAGGATGCAGGGAGACCAGGGCAGCTAACAGTCCCAAAGCGGACTGGTCATGGGGAAGTCTCGAGATCCGAAGGTTCCCGCAAGGATCCAGTGGAGAACTAATCAGCACCTGCAAAAATGATCCGAGGTACCACTGGCCGCAGTCCCAGCAGGTAGGGAGTCGTGCCTGTCCCCACCAGCCAGGCTGGAAAACTTGTGGTCCATGGGACATTAGACGGAGCACACGGCTCTTCCCTCAGCTGTGAGGAACAGCCACTGACCCCAGCCAACAAGTCAAAGAAAGATTTGGAAGGATCACATTGTTCCTAGTAACTGTGTCCTAGAACAAAGCTCAACAGTATTTACTATAAGAATACAAAATCTTCAATACTCCACAAGGTAAAATTCGCAGCGTCTGTCAGCCAGTCTGAAATCGTCCAGCGTACAAAGGAGGAGGGAAGTACGACTCTGAGGACAGCATCCGGAGCTGACGGAGACCTTAGTGTTTGCAGGCAGACGTTAAGGCCTGCGCAGCATGTTACCACAGTGAATACCGTAGGCATCCGCGTGCCTGACGATAGAGGAGGTACAGTAAAAGTATGTCCTGAGAGACAGAGGGGGCACACGTGAGAGGGCACGTGCTGCGAGGGGCGCCTCCAGGACGGCGTGGCTCGGCG